CCCCAAAACCCCAAAACCCCAAAACCCCATGAAGCAGGCATTTTAGTTGTTTCGAAGAAATGAAAAGTTAAGTGGAGCAAATAAATAATTTCATATTTAGTAAAAATTTATCACAAACCTGGAGAATTCATTATTTGATTATTGATGTTTGAGTTTAAGTTTTAGTTGTTAATAGTAGCACTAGATTGAAATAATCTTTTATCTTGGAATGTGAAAGCAGCACTTCCACCATTCTCTTTTCCCCCACTTTTATTATTTCTATTAGATATAGGAGTAAGAGATACATGAAGTGAATTCAATCCTATTTGCAGAGTTCTCTCCAATTCTTCTAGAGGCTCGAATTGTGGATAGGTTAGTTTTATTTTTGACAACTTTTGAATTTTAACCATATTTTGAATTTGATTGTCTGAGGTAATACTTCCATCTCTATAAATATAGAGGATCTCTTGAGCTCTTTCAAATTTGTGAAGGAGCTATGCCAGAATCATCAGATAAGAGATGCCTCGCTAGAGTTAAATAACCTCACTCTGATTGAAGGTCTTTCTATCAGGTCAATTATTACTTACTAGAAGTACAAAGCATTACTCTAGTTACAGTAACTATAGAGGACCGTTAAAATGTAGCATCGAGGAAAAGTCGTTTGAATTTAATAATTGATGAATTCCATTCAGTGTTGTGGGGTTTAAGTTTTTCTATTATATGCATTCTTTTTGTAAGTTATACGTGAATAGTCTGGGTTATTTTACTGTATTATTGGATTATTATTTAATTGGACTTAGGTTTTAAGGATTTGGGTTACTCACATCCATTCCGCTAAGCGGCCTGAAAAATTATAATCTTGATGCGGACCCAAGCTTTTTAGATGGACTTGATCTTTGTGAATATGGAGTGCTGTGACCACTACCAACTTTTTTCTTTGGCGAGCTATATGTATTTCACTTGATATCTTCAAAAGTCTTATTCATAATCATTAGTTAACCTACGAATCCAAGATTCGGATCTATGAACCCTCTTTTAGATCTAAGAAACTCGATTGATTCATTATAGTTGAAACCTTTTTTCCACATTAGGTATCCTGCGACAACAGCAGCAGATCTTGAATTACCCTAATAGAGTTATCATTACAAAATATACCTTATAACAGTGAACTAGTATTTTAGCTTTTTAATTAGTGGATTGCAAAGCTTCTTCAATAAATTCTATTGCAGCATAGGTATACATAATTATATCACAATCTATTTAATCTCTCATTCCTAATAGGAGATACTTAATTTCTGGTTATTCATATTCATATTATTTCAAAATATCTGAGGTAAAATTGAAAGTTTGGACTTCAGGGATTCCGTTCTCGTCATTAACAGTAAATGCACTTTATTTTTTAGAGGTTCCAGCTAAATTATTAGAAATCTACCTCATTTTAAAATCTAAAATGGGTGTAGACACAAAACTGATTTAATCTTAATTGAGGGAGTTACTCCGATTATAAGCAAGATTTCTTGGCATGTCTTTTTACGAGATATTAACAGTCAAATTATCTTTGACCATATTTTCATCATAACCATCAGAGTTGTCCATTTAGGATAGCTATTCAATTATCATAGTGGGTCTTTGTTGTAAAGCTGACTATTTCCCGCTTATCAATATTTTTTAGTTTATACTAGAATTGCATTATTATTTAGTAAATAATTCTTGAGATCTCTTATGGGCTATCAGATTGATGACATGAGTGATCCCTTCCGACAAAAGTAGATGCCTTTACTATGCTGATCGCTGATCTATATATTCGTTATAAATTAGTAATTGCTCTCAATCTGACTTTAAATTTTGTGTTTATAACTTACTGGATAAATATATATTCTCGTCGATTTTGGACAGTTCAATCTAATTTACATTATCGTGAACAGATTGATTTGATCCTTAAAAAATATCATTTTTTTGAGAGCTTTTCTAGCTGCTATTACAATCATGCATCTTCTTATTACTTCCTGCATCTTTCACTTTGAGATCCTCATCCAGAGTATGCTAAGCCTTCTGAATATCTAACTTCAAACCCTAGATCCGCTATTTTTTCATTTTTTATTTATAACGTAATTTTGAAACTTATCCACCGCAAAATAAAATTGATTTAGGAACCTTGGGGTTTTGGGGTTTTGGGGTTAGATATTCAGAAGGCTTAGCATACTCT